AATGGGTGTTGACATTATGAAGGTAATTTCAGTCAGTGAAAAACAATATATTTTTGAGAGGTAATAAAAAGGAAGGGCATGGAGAAGTTTAGCTGGAGATAGCTAGGAGATGGATTATGGGAAAACAAACCCCATGGTTATTAAAACAGTATCAGCTGTTCAGATTTCTTTTTACATCCAAACAGTGCTTGACTACTGGATGTCTAACTCACTTCAGAATATATTAATAGGTAAAAGATAATAAAATAACCCAAATTGATTATGATCTTATACCGTTTATGATATAACTTTAAATGCAAATTGCATTCAGCTGCAAGAAGGGAAATGATGTCCCAAAGGCATTTCAATTAATTGCTGTAGTTAATTACACTCATAATTTTACTTGTGTGACTAATTATAATCAGGTTTTATCGGTGTATATGGATTTACTTCTGATACTAAAAGCCCCAAACAGCAGGTTATTTTTAGGAAATACATTTAAACTTCGTAACGAAAACCGCGTGTTCCCATTCTCAGCAGCTGGCTGGAAGGAGCTGTGTGTGTCCAGGAGGAGTTTGGGGGAGACCAAGAAAGGATTGTGCTGAGGAGGGGTCTGGGGAGGTCACTGTGGTGTGGCTGCTGATGTTCCATTGCTCACTCTCCCAATTTCTTTATTTGCTTTTTATCCTGTGTTGGGTACCGGAGTCCTCGGTGGTGATCCCGGGGTGTCAGCCGGTTCCAGAGGGACTGGGAAGGCACTGGAAGTGCCACCTGCAGCAAATGTAGCTGTATAATCTGTCACACTTCAGTAGTGTACACATACCCAACCCTACGACCCCATTTCATACCTAAACTTCTGAATTCTTTTCCTTTGCTCAGGCTTCCCTCAAGGCACAGGCCTTCATTCTGGTTTAGAGCATTTGCACCTCGGGCCTCTACAACAAGGTATACCCTACTCAAAGCAACCTTCAAATACCGTTTTTTTGGGGATGCAGTGCTTGCCACGGTGTCTCTGCCGCCCTAACCCTGGGACACAACACCTGCTCCGTGACGGGGTGTTTATCCCCTGGGAAGGGGATGAAGGAGCTCCCTCAGCCCGGAGGGGACCCCGGGAAATGGCAGCCAGCAAAGCTCGGGGGGTGCCCAACCCCGAGCCTGCCACCCCCTTGCTGTGCCCAGAGGGAATTGTTCGCCTTTCCTCCCCTTCCTTTCATATTTTTCCTGGCTTTTTGTCCCCTCAGCTCGTGTTTCCGTGGCAGGGCCTGGCCCCGGTGCCCGGCTCTGCCATGGCTGCCACATCCCCCTCAGGGCCTGGCCCGGCCCCGCTGCCCCTGAGGGCGAGTCCGTCCTGTCCATGAGGACACAACAGACAGGGAAAACCCACACTCCTTTTTTTTTTTCTTAACGTAATTTATATGATTTTCTCCCACATGCAACGTTTTCCACAGTGACCTCTGAGTTTCTCTGTCGTTGAGTTGGCTTCAAATCCCACCTCATTTTAGTGCTTGGTGGAAGAAAATGGCCAAGTCCGCTTTTAAATCTATCGAAAAGAGCATCCCATCTCCAAGGGTAATAATTTTTCATAGAATCATTCATAGAATAATGGAACCATCTAGGTTGGGAAAGAAACTTAAGATCATTGAGTCCAACTGTAATTTTTGTGGTGTTGTCCTGAGCAAGGTAAAACACCAGGCAATGGTCCCCTCTGTTTCTGATTGATGTTATATATGGTATTAACAGATTTGTTAAACTCTAAAACCAGCCTGGGAAGTTCAGTAAGCTTCTCTGTATCCTTTATTTATTTATTTATTTATTTTTTACTACAGGTGGATGGATGGATATTTTACGTGGATTTGCTGTATGGTATCTTTTTAACTGGAAGGCTCCTGGCCGTGCTGGCAAATGCTGTTTTCCCTGTGAAATCCGCTTCTGGATGGGCCACAAAGGAAAGGACAAAGCACAAGGCTTTATCCCCTTGTCCCAGCAGTCACAGAAAATTAATTTTGTACAGACAAGTGCATTTTGAGCTGGTGTTTGTCACAGGAGGAGCTGACTGCACAATGGAGCCGCCAAGTTTGTCAGAATTCTTTGTGGCTAATGTAAATATGTTTCTTGTGAGTAATGATTTGGTTTCCTTGTCTCTTTCTGCTTCCTGAGAAAATGTTTTGCTGAAAACATATTGTATTAAGAATTTTTTTTGGTGCCTGCCCCTCCTGTCACCTCCTGCTCCTGATGTTTGCGTTCATGTGGGAGAGCTGCTCCCTCACCTCTCACACCTCCGGAGGGGGCACTCACGTCAAGGTCTGACCTGGGAATGAGCTTTTTGGATGTGTTGTACAAACCCCTGCAATCTCAGCTCAGAGTGCTTTTAGGAACAGGGAGGATCTGCTGATCTGTTGAGCCCCCAGTTGCTGCTCAGCGCATGAATGGGCTCTGCCATGGCAGCAGTTCCAGCCCTGAACCAAAGTCCAAGCAGCTTCCCAAGGACAGAGCTCTGGTAAGCAGAGCTACATCCCCACCTTGATAACCTCCCGAACGTTTTGGCCTTTGCCCTCTTGAGCACCATCACTTCATACATCTGGTTTCCTGCAACCCAAATGCTGCTCTACCTCCCACTTGATGCAGATCGACTAAGCCTCTGCTTGTCTCTATTTTAAACCCCTGACTTTCACCTCCAGTGAATTTTACTTTCCAGTGTAGTTTCATTTTCTCTTGGACTCCAGTTTTCAGCCCCAGAAGACAAGCAGTCATCGAGTCTGGCTCCAGCAGATGTGAAATGTATTAGCGAAGCTCTGTGCTGACTTTTCTGTCCATGGGAAAATAATGTTCTTTCTGGATCCTTCTAAATACTTTTGTTCCTTCCCCCACCCTTTCCTGTATTATCATGGCTTGGCCATTTGTCCTTCAGGAGTTCCTCTCGTTTCCTGGTGTCTTCACAATATAAGAAGTTTCATGCCAAACATGGCATGGACAAAATTCCTGACAATCAGCACCTGAAGCTACCTGTGGAACAGCAAATGACTTTTCCATAACCATCCTCACAAAGGCAAATTAAATGTCCCACTTGAAGCCTTCCTGTCTTTTTACTGCTTTCTAAATGCAGTGGCTTTTGCTGTAGGTCTGGATTTGTTCGGGGCATCAGTCCTGTCCTTGTCACGCCCTGTCCCAGAACAGAACGTGTCACCTGAGTGCAAAGGGGAGACTCTGCCACGGGACAGGCTGAACTCAATCACTGTCACAGGTACACGTTGGAACATTTCCCTTTTCCTCATTGCCACAGCACTGAGTCACTCAGGAAAACAGTGACACTTGTCTAATCAGGTTTTATTCGTGCTGGGGTCGGTGCAGGAGGGAACTTAGAGAGGACTAACCCTCTTCTCAGCAGATTTTTGTCTTTCTCTTAGTTCTAATATGTTTCACAGTAAATAAGATCCTCCCACGTTGCAACTGGTGGCTGTAAATGCCTCTCTCTATCTCCACGATAAACTGAGGCACAGCCTAGTGAAAACTGCCCCAGTTTGATTTATCATTTATCACCAGCAAAAAAATGACAGCTGACCCACATCCTCCATAGGTTATTCCACTCATCCTTAATGAGCTGAGGAGTGAGTGAACAGAGAGGGATGGTGGGCTCTGGTGCATCTTTATTAGTGCAAAAGGCATTTCTCAGTGAGGCATCCTGAGGAACGTTCCCAGCTCTGCTCTGGCCAGCAGGAGCCCCCAGTGCTGCAGGAGTTCAGTGTGTCAGGGGGTGCCTTGGACCACCCTGCTTGGAGGTCTTGAAACAGCAGCAAAACCCTGAGCCTTTCAGAATATTCCATTTCTTGTGTCCTGGAGAACAGCAAGAAAACGAAGCAGCGATCTGCTGTGTGCAGAGAACAGCCAGGTGATGTGAAATAAATCTCCAGCAAACTGCTGACATTAGAAACATCCCCAGGCACTGCGAATCCCTGCCCCAAAAAATACAAACCCAGCCCTAAACCCAACCCTAAATATTGTGAAGAAAACAGGAGGGGGAAAAAAAAGTCACATTCCTGTTCTGAAAGTGTGTTTTTAGATTCCCCTTCAGCAAGGACAAGAGAAATAAAAACTCAGAACAATTCAAATATAGGTCTCTTTCAACTTTAATATTTTATGTTTGCTCCTCAAAAGTTTTTCAGTTACATAAAAATACACTTTAAGTATCAATCATTCCTTTAAACATTAAATAGGTGGATTTGCTTTCCCACGTGTGTTTTTAAAGCTTATATTATTGATTGATAAATATGAAAATAGTTTCCCCCCCCCTTTTTTCTCCTTTGGTGAGCCGTGGTTACTCTCACTGCCAGGATTTTCCTGAAAACGGCCATATAACTGTAGTATAAAGTAATCTCTGCAAACACTGCCCTAAAGAAAAAAAAAAACAAGTCTGCTACTATGAAATCCTATTTTGGTGTGGCCAAAATCTAAATTTCTAAAATAAGCCATAATGTGTTATAGTACAAGGAAACCCCATCCACCAGTATCTTTTCTGTAAGTAAATGGGTAAGATCTGAAGGTATCAGTTCAAATCACGATCTTCTTGGAAAAACTGTCTTTACCGTATGTGAATATTGCAGGTACGTTGTTATTAAAAATTATATATATATATAAAAGAAATATATATATATATATATATATATAAAAGAAATACATATAAGAAAGAGCCATTTCTTGAGCTGTCCCATTTTATTAGGCAGATAAAAACTGCAAAGGATCATCAGAGTCCCACATTTCAAATGCAGCTCTCCAAAGAGAGGGAATTTCCACGGATGTGCCCCTGGTCCGTGGGGAGGAGCTTCCCTGCTGCTCAGTGGCACATCAGGTCAGCCCTGGGCTGAATAAATAACTGAGAAAGCTGAAAGGCAGAACTGGGAGAGCAGGTGAAAGGAATCCAGCATCCTTGGGGAAATCATTCGGCTCCTCTGCAGGGAGAAGGGGGGGTGTGTTAGGTGAGGTTTGTCCTTCCCTAGAGGGGGTGACCCATGGTGGGAACGTTTTTCCTCTGCTCTGTGTTGTGCCTGCAGGGAGGACAGTGTGGGATTGGAGGAATGACTGCCAGATTTGAGTGTAAACATCCTCCAAACAACCCCCTTCACAGGCACTTAGGAACAGGTTCCTCTTGAAGGTCCTCTGTGCACCTTGTCAAGTGTCCTTCCAGTGGTGTGTTAAAACTACAGGTGTGCAGATAATCCATCCTAATCCATCCTAAGGTTACCTCTAAGTGTTTGGGGTTGGTTTATTTTAAAAGTGAAGCTCCACAGCTTTATCTTAGAGTTCCTTTGGGTTCTGGTGGCTTAGTGCAACGGGTCTCATTTTCTGTAAGAGCAGCACAGTCCCTGGCCAATGCCTGGAGGAGGACAAGGTGACATCCTGCACCGAGATACGAGTCACGAGCTGGTAATTAGAGAGGCTACTCGATACAAAGAGCCAACAACAGCGAGAATAACCAAAAAAAAGGGGAAAAAAAAAAAAAAGAAGAGCAGAATGTTGACTGAGGTGAGAAATGTTCACTGGGAAGGAGAGCTGAGGAAGAAGGTGAGCGTGAGGAGCAGCAGCAGGAGCTTTGCCGGGGGCAGGACGGTGCTGGCGCTGGACCAGGACACCTTGCGCGTGTGCAGGGGCTGGACGGGCCGGAAATTTTCAATCATGGGGGTTGAATTCTTCCCATCGAAGTGCAGAGCTGCAAAGTGGGAGAGCTGCAGGCGGGGAAGGAGAAGAGAACAGATCGTTAAACCCTTTTTTTTTTTCCGCCCCCCTGTAGGACTCCGGGACCTGCAGTGTCACAGACCCGCGGGTTTGGACGGTGTGGATGAACCAAAGCTCGCAGGAAACGCCGTGACAGAGCCCACTGCCAGGGGTCACCCCCAGATGACTCCTGACAGCCTTGGAAATCAGGGGCACTTCCTTTCTGCGTGAGCCAAAGGCTTTGTTCACCTCAAGGGCCTGGTTGCCCCCGTCCTCCTGACGCACGCGGCCCTGTCCTTGCCCACCACGTCACGGTGACACAAGGTGGGAGCACGAGGGGCTCTGTCTTTGCTCCAAACTTCTCACAGCACTGTGAGATGCTGAGCTGTGCCTGGCTGAGCACTGCCCTGTGGCTGAGGGGCTGGGAGGAAACTGGGAGCAAGGAGCTAAAATGCAGGTGCTGGCCCTCAGCCAGGCTGTGCAGCCTCTGGACAGGCTGTGTTTTCGAGGCACTCGTGATTCAACCTCCTGTTCCTCCCTGCAGGTCAAAAACGAGCTGCTTAAAGCTGGTGCTGATAGGCTCAAAGTTTGGGTTTGGAATGATTCTGTTCTGGTCTCCTGCCAGCGGGAGGGAAGCCATGAAATTTGGGAGTGAGCAGGTGACAGCAGTGGAAGTGGCGCTGACGAAGCGCTGAGCTGGGCGATTACCTGGGGGGTTTTCTTGGCTTTCTTTTCACATCATCATTTCCCCTTCCTTCCCCTTTCCTGCCATTTTTTGGGAGGTGATTTAATAGGGTCAGTCAGCTGGCACTAGGGAGTACATTTAGGCTAATGCCAAGTGTGTGTGTGTTTGGAACGAGGCAGTGGAACCGCCGCTCGGGCTGTGTTGCTGTGGGGGCAAAGCAGACCCTCCCCTGGGACTCACCTGGGGAAGACTGAGTTCAATTGGCTTCTCAAATATTGTCCAGATGACACCCTCGAAGCAGTCAGGGGTGGTGAGGGAGCCCTCATACCGGTAGTACCTCCCAAGCTCTTCCTTGGGCGGGAGAAGGGAAGTGAGCGGCAAAGGATCGATCTGTGCTGATAGCCCTGAACAAACCATGGGGAAAACACTGCTTGTAACACTTGTGGCTGCTGGTTTTGTCCACATTTACCTTCAGCACCTCCCTCATTGCACAGTTTGTGAAACCCCTGTCCAGGTGTCTCTCTTACCTTTGTATTGGATATTCTCTAACTCATTCAGTAGAGTTGCGTAATTTTTATTTTCCTTGTCAACCTGAAATGGAAACATTTTGAATCCAAATCACGCATTTCTCAACCACTGGTGGCTTTGAATTAATTGTGGATAAACCAGAAGGGAACCACGAGGGTGAAAAGCACCAGCAAGCAGGATGTAGAAGAGGGCAGAGGAACTAAGTGCTGGCAGAATGCCTGCAGGAGACAGGGAGGGTTAGGTCTTGTGTACTGCAGCATTGACATAAACAATCACTCAGCCAAATTGCTGGGAGGTTTGAGATGGACAATTAGAAATTGGACTGCCTACCTTTATAAAGAAGGCCAGCACAGCCAAACCATCCTTGTACTTCTTGGCTTCTGCTACGTTTGGAACATCTTCTCTGATGTGGACGAGGTGCAGCTGTAACACAACAGCCAGGAACAATTATTTGCCCCTTTTCCTGGCTGGCTGAGTGGCGCTTCTCTGCCCCTGCACTGCTGTGGGGCTGGAGCTGCTGGTGGCCTGTGGGCTGTGGGCAGACAGCTCGAGCCCCCTGACCTGGGGCAGGAACTGTGCAATCAGTGAATTTGGAACGTGCCCCATCAGCAATCATTTCATACAACCCCCCACCCCTGAAGGTGAAGTGCTCTGTGTTCCTCTGCCCTCAGTTCCCAGCCTGTGCACTGGGACAGGCAGATTTTCATCTTGTGGTCTGAAAGGGGGGGTGGTTTCCTTCCACCAGTCCTTGTGCATCTACACTGGTGACTTGTCTTGCCTTGAAGAGAAAATCTCTGATTGCACAGGTCAGTGGGTGCAGTCCCAGAAATGAAGCTGAGTAAGCAGTGGGAGAGCAATTTACCCCTGGGCTTCCAAACAGAGAAATTATGTTTAACATGTGAAGAGGGTAATCTGTACAGACTTTATAACATTTCTCCTCCCAGGTGCTGTGTAACCCCAGCTCTGGGGTCTGCTCTGTGCCTGTGCTGTGCCAAACCTGTGTGTTTTCCTGGGAGCGAGCAGTGTCCTCCCTTCCAAATTCCCACCATCAGACTTCCCTGGGAGATCCAGCCAATAGTTTTTGTGAAGAGCATCTTGAAAAGCAGAGTTTTGGGGTAAAACCCATAACCCCCCAGCGTTCTCACCCACCTCCATAGCATGTTTCTCTCCATCTATGCTGTGCTCTGAGCCAGGGATGTATTGCTGCACTCCTGGGCTGCTCGGCTGCATGCTTGGGACCCCCCAGTGCAAATGGAATTCCACTGCCTTGTATTTCCTTGCCAGACCTCCACCTCCAACTTTGGGGGATGCATCCAGTGTTACCTTAACTGGGGGGGGAAAAAGGGGAAGCTGTTTTAAAGGCAAAAGTCAGGTCGTGCATTGGTAGGATGTGAGAGCAGAGATTCAGATTTATCCGAAAGTTCTGGCTTGGTTTTTCATACCAAGTGTTCCAGAAATTCAACTCTGCAGAAACTGAACTCTTAATTATAGCTGAGTTTAATTTGGAATGCATTATAACCATTATGACCCCAGGAGTCAGAGCTTCTTTCTACCTTTCAGAAGACCCTCCATTCCTTCATTTTTTGTCCAGGAAAACACCCTCTATCACAACATTCTTGAAAGTAAATTTGACCACAGTTTGTTTGGGTTTAACCATTGTTTTAATCTCCTGTTATCTGCACTGCAACATTTCTTTTAGGCAGGGTTTAAGGATGTTCTGTTTTAATTTAGAGTAGAGCTGCAATTTAGGCCTAAGCATCTAAGCCATTACTTCTATTTAATGTGATGTTTGATCTGCTGTTAGCAGCAAAAGAAAATGTTCTTAGGAGATATTCTTCTAGCTAGACCTCACCATCACTTGCTCGATATATTTGACATATAATTTTAAATTTTACTTATTAGGATCTCTACATTAAACACAGTACTTTTCTGTGCATAGGAGAATTCTGGATTGCAGCCCCAGAGATTTCATTTGTGCTCTGAATTCCAAATGAACCTGGAGCTTGCATGAGTCACTTAGTTCCTTTGCGTTTTTATCTGTAAATGGATGAGTCACAGATCTTTGTGGGCTTTGTTTATTTGGCTGGGGAGACCTTTGGGACACTGGCCCTTGCTATCTGCCCCTCACCCAACACAGGGACGCTCTAATCTCACCTGGAGCTTCCAATTGCAGCTGGAATTTCAGCAGTGGCTGTTCCATTCAGCCCAGGAACTGGTTGCCCTCAGAAGGAAGAGATTTCAAAAGCCCACATTAACCCCCTAATCCTCATGCACGGCTGGGGAAGGTGGGATTGCTGAGCAATCCTTACAAACAGTAATTTGTGTGTAGGAGGAACGCAAGGTGGACATCCTAGAGCACCATTCTGTGATGGCAAAGTCACTAATATATCAGTGAAAAGTCAAAACATGAAAGATCCTTCTGGTCTCTCACAATACCAGTGTTTTAAAACAGAATCTCTGGCTGTTCAAATCTCCCCAGCTGCCTTCCTACCCTCCCTTTGGAGTCAGGAGATATTTGCCACTTGCTGCTTTCTGCTGGAAAGATTTGGTGGTTAAAATAACCCCTCTAAGATTTTAAGAACACCTAGCAATAATTTAAAATAAAACAGACCACAGATTTATTTTCAAAGCTGAAGTAAATTAGCATAATTCTGTTGAAGCATCATCATAACGATTGCTCTGAGTGATAAAAGGTGGAGGAAGTGCAACAGTTCTAAATTGCTTTTCGCTGATTCACTGTTTACTGAATCAATAAGTAGCTGATCAAGACACTCATTACCTTCTGTGTGCAGAGAGAACAGGTTTAAATCTGGGAAGATTTTAGCTGGTTATTTAAAGAACTAGTAGGGCTCACACACCACGATCCATGGGGGAATGGCTGTCCCAGGTTACGTTTTTCTTCAGCAGAATTCTTTGTGCAGAAGCAAAGTTTGCAAAGAGCAAGCTCAGAAATGAAGGGTTGGGGGAGCATCCAGCAGAAAATGAGATGTCTCTGCCCAAAGGGTTGTCCTGAACCCCTCTCCCCACCCACCCTGTTGGGGTTAGAAGTTCCCTAGACAGCTCTGCTCCTGCACATCTACAGGAACAATTTCTGCTGAGACGCTCAAGGGCCACATCCAGAGCCCAAAAACTTGATAAATCCCACAGAACTCCCAGAAAACTTTGGCTCTGAGGGTGTTCTGGAAGCTTCACTTCTGAAGTACAGGGGGGATACCTCATCTGTGCTTCCTTGCTGTAGGGATACCCAGCACCCAGCCCAGGAGGGGGAAGAAGGGAATGGCTGATTCCAAGGCAAGGCACAGATAAATCCCACAGTACTTGCCTGTATGTCCATTATTTTCCACTTTCCACTTTGAAGACCCCTTCCCATCATACCCCTCAAAAGTCAGAGGCTTGAGGCTCCTGTCATAAACGACGTTTCTGGTGACGATGTTGATGGGGGACTGCCTGTCCCCTTTGCAGGCAGGATCTGTCAGGTGCCATTGGTGAGGATCTGTGGCAGGGGGAAGGAAACAATCGTTTTCCGTAGACAGCAAATCCCTCACAAAGCCAAACCACCCAACCAACACACTCTCGCTTGGGAAACTGGACAACATGAGGGGGGATCTCCCCTGGAGCTTATTTTGGAGTTATTTTTGTATTTGTAGCGCTGAAACAAAATGAACAGTTACCACAAGCACCAAATACCCTCCCCCAGCTATCCTGTTTGTGCACATAAAGCATCAGGTGCTGAGGTGTGGGAATTTTCGCGTTGTTTCTCTCCAGAGCCCCTTTGCAAAATGGAAGGATCCCAAATGGGACTTGGGAAAGGGACTGGGCCAGCAGTACCTTCACACTCCGGCTGTTCACACTTCTGGGACCGGTAACACCAGTGGCTCCCCACTAAAGAAGAGGAAACAAGAACAGCAGGTGTTCAAAATCTGCACAGATTGTCCCCCCCCAAAATCAGCAGCGAAATGGATCCTCGGGGAGCGATGACTGGGCACAGGTTTTTGGGAACTTCTTGGGGTCTTCTGCCCGATTTTATTAGGGTAAAATGTTTAATGTCCTCAATATGTTACCAAGGGTGGCTTCTGGAGGCAAAAGCTCCACATTTGAATTCACGTGGTGTTAAAATAAATTCCCTTTATCGCTTCTGCACTTGCCAACCTTTCATTGACTTGTAAAGTCACTTATGCAAGAGGATTTATTTTACTCTGTTCCAGGAACTATCTGAAAGGTTACTTGGTGCAATAGGGAATTTTAAGAGGCGAAGGATCTCTCTTCCTGGAAGACCTGAAGGATCTTTAGTCTAACCCAGCTGTGATCCATCCCACAGAGAGATGGCTGTGAATTTTGTCAATAGAACATCTGAATTTTAACTTTTTCTTTGCCAGAAGAAGTGCAAAGCTCAGAGGAAAAGAGCTGATTTAACTGAGGTAGGTGTTGATCTAGTCAGGAAAGTAGGGACTGGTTTGGTTGTCACAGGTTCCTTCAGTGGCTCTTTATGACACTTCTAAACCTCAAAAGGCCTTGGAGAGGAATAGTTCTCTTATTGGGAACTCAACTATTGAGCCTGAATCCATAACAATTCAAAACCTCTTATAATCATGATTAATACCAGAGCTTCTGTTTTCTCATGACTAGTAAATTAGAGACATTTTAGCAAACGGCAAATCAATTTTGAGGATTATTGAGGAGGGGACCTGTCATTAAATTGGTAATTACCAGAATCTGTAATTTATAACACACCTGCTGGAAGGCTCATCGTGGCTTTTACCACCTTTATCCTGATATCAGCAGCAGAGCAATACATCCATCCAGTAAGGATTTAGAAGTTATAAATAGAGCCCTGACATAAAAGGTGGGTAAGTATAACCCAGAGGGAGACTCAGACAAGCTTTTGGCAATTAATATAACCTTGAAAAAAAAAAAAAAGAGAGTTCCAGTTTTCCTTTCGCAGAACCCAAATTTATGCTGAAAACTACAAATGATGTTGACTCACTTTCTGGTTTAGCAAGTGTTTAGTAACACTGAGAGGAAAAGTAAACAACACTGTTAGTTTGTGTTGGAAGAACTGGAGGGATTTCTGCGTTGACGTTCCATTAATGTCTTTTAATTATAAAAAAAAAAAAAAAATCCCTTTTGACAGGGTTTTATTTTTTTGACAGGCTTCTAACCATACACAAAATTTCACTTTCTGAAATTGCTTGGTGGCATTTTTTTGGCAGGGCTGGTGTGCACCAGGCAGTGGCCTGAGCTCCAGCTGAGCTTTCCTCACCCCCACCAGGACACAGCAGAACCGGGAGCTCCGAGCACGGAATGTCACCGAGCACCTTAATCGATATTCTGGTCAATGAATGCCCAAAGAGTGCCAGGTAAGGAGACCTTCACATGCCTGCTTGTGCTCCAGGAGTCAGTGTTTGCATGGCTGAATGACCTCAGGCATATTTTTGGCAACTCGGTGCTCAGCCTGTGCTTTACCAGTTCCACACCGGGGCTGGGATTTTCTTGGCGATTTACACGTGGATGAACCTTTAGGAGAACGAAAGCAGCGATGACCTGGACATGAGAGGACAGCCACCTGCGAAGATTTGCTCTCCAAGCCTCTGGGAGGTGAGTTGAGGCAGAGGGGAGAGTTGCCAGGTGAGAGCTCAAGGTCGGGGGAGGAATCCCGGGCTGTTTATCCCAAACTCCAGGAACAAGCTCTGCTCTGGGTTTGCACGATGGGAGGTCAGCAGGGCTCACACATCAAAGCCCTGCTGTGAAGCAAATCCAATTTTCCAGTCAGTAGGATTCCCAATTGGGAGTAAGTGCAGCGAGGTCCGTGGGGATAAGGTTGTGGGGCTTCCAAACCGTGGCTGCAGAATCACAACAATCAAAGACAACCCCAGGAGACACCGAGGGAAGGGGAAGATCACCAGATCATGCTGTCAGTGGTCCCGAATCAGTGCCTCTGTCCCATGGGAATGGGTTGTGGAGCCTTTCACTGCTGAGTCCACATCCCACCCTTCTCAAACAAAGCAACCCCTGGCTTTTTACTGCCTGAGCAGGTGCTTGGCAGGTTCTCCCAAATAAACCTGTGGGTTTCTGTCACCTCTGAGAGATGACTGTGAGCACACTGAGAGTCTTTCAGCCACGGCAGCGAGAGGAAGGGGAGAAAAAGATTTTAAAAAATAACATGAAATTTAAAAAATCCAGCCCTCAGTGGCTACAGCTGCCTCACATCCAGCACTCAGGAGTGTTCATCCCTTCTTCTGTTGAACCCTAACTAACAGTTGGTTTTGCAAGGGTTCCAGTGAATTTCTGATGTCTATGAACAAAGTCAGAACCTGTGTTTTCTATCAAGTCCTTATCTTGTTTGTGGTTTAGAGAGGTGGATGGTATCAGTGAAGGATAACAGGATATAAATTCAGCGTTTCATAAGAAAAAGGTCCTTAAAGCTGTTAAACCTTAAACAATGACCTAATTAAACATTCCAGAATGCCCGAGCAAACAGTGAATTAATGTTTATTGTGAATTAGATATCTTTTTTTTGGTTGGCAGCAGTGGAACATTGGAGAACAGGATCTTTTGTGTAGATACTGCTCAGGAGGAACCTGAGTCACTTACAAGGAAAATTTGCCTTTGGATTTTATCTGAGTCAGGTGTGATTCCTCCCTACGTAGGGACCTTGCTTTACAATGGCTCTTTTTTCCCCTGAGCTTTAGGGCTTTATTTCTGAAGCAAGAAGGAAAGGTACTTGTCACACGCAGTCAGTTGTCTGCAGTCTCAGGCATGATTAGGCCCTAAGATATGTTGTCCAGCGGAGTCTTAATTGTCTGAGCGGCTCCTGCCGCTTCCCTTCGGAGGCTGTTCCACAGTCTATGAGCCTTCACCGTCAGGAAATGTTTCCTGTGGAATAGCTTACATTTTCCACTTGCTTATCTGCATCCCTTCACTCCTAGAAATATCACTGAACCACCCTAAACAATTCTTTTCCCTCCCTGGTGTTTACAGCATTCAAATAGTTCCCTGCTAATCTGCAATTCCTGTTCTTGCTTCATCCATCCCTTGTCCCATCCCTTGGCAACTGTTGCCTTCACTTTCCCACCGTTTCAACTTCTAAATCCTTCATCTTTCTTCCTCTGACCCCCCCTTTCTTACAGGGTCTGGGTACCTGTCAGGTCCCACCCTGCCCTCCCCTCATCTGACTGCTCTTTCAATCAAACCTCAACTCACCTGGTTTCCTTCCTGTCGTTTATTTTATTGCCTGGAAAAACGCAGCAGAAAGTGAATCTTTCAGTGTTTTAGTGTTTTTTTTTTTTCTGTTTCTTTGTTTTTATAGCTGAGGTGCTGAAATAACTGCAGTGAGATATATATATATATACACACACACCTGGACTTACAGTTACTGTATTATCACCTATATCTTGCTTTTACCTCATGTTACGAGTCCTTGATTTAAGTAGTGATGTGACACCATAGGTGTCACAGTGACTTTACAGGTTTAATTTAGAGTGGGGCTGAACTGTGCTGAAGGCCTCCTCTTCCTCCCCAGAGTTCAGGACAGTTAAATTTAGGGAGTCTCTCCTGGCGAGCGAGCAATCCTACTTATCTCTGTTTCTTCCTTGTCGAACTTACAACTGCTTTCCTGACCGGAGCCGTTTCTTGGCACCGGGAACCGCTGGAAAACAATACAATTACGTATTGTTTTCGTTTCATTGTAAACGTTTTCAATTGTTTTCAGCTATCGGGCCTCGTTTGGAAGCTCGAGGCAGAAAATTCCCCCGGTTGAGAACTCCCCCTCCTGTTCGCTCGGACAGTGCTGCTGGAGGGGAGCCAGGCTGGGAGCAGCTGCCAAGCCGCTATTGTGTGATCTAGGAAAAGACCCTTCAGCTCTTTGGACCACGCTCAGATTGCCTGAATTCCATAAAAGTTCCTAAATCTACTTTGTCCCACTTGTTGCCTGTTTTGCTGCCCTACTTGGACCTGCAGAGCCAATCCCTGAGTCAGTGCCGTGGGACAGGTGTGTTCTGCGGGCTCACAATGCCCTCTTCACCTGTTCACATGCACAGAGGAGTCACTGAAACAGCTTTTGTCCCTCTGACAGAGTGGCTGAAAACCATTAATTTTACATTTGACAGATATCTTTCTTAACTGTATTTAATCTCTTGAAGCGTGAGTGACTTTTCTGCCGCGAGCAGCCTGAAGGAGTGGGACAGTAAGAATATCCTGGGCTGCTTTTTAGCTCAAATCCCTTCTCCCTTTCACTGACTGACTCCTTTGTTTGTCCCTTTTAGCCTCCTTTCAGCCACAGTCCTGGCTGACCATTCCCTGTTTTTTGGGACACAGGGATCAGTGCTCCCTGTCAGAGAGCCCAGCCTGCCCTCGGGGCCAGAGCTCTCCTTGCTGCCCTCTAATCCATCCCAAAATCTGCTCTCACCTTTTCCATGAAGGTGGCAAAAGCTGTTTTTGCACGTGATGTATTTTTGGCTTTGGTTTGTGTTGAGCTCATCCTAATTTTAGCTGGCTTTGTAAAACTTACTATTTTTAGTGCAAAAGACAAAACAACTTAAAAAGCAATTGTTATCTAAGCCTGCCTTTGTAATTAATGAGAATGCTGAGCACAAACTCAGCATGTATAGATAAGCCTATTTATACATTCTTGAGTATTGCACATCCTCAGGAAGCCCCCAGTCAGCCACTTGGACAGACAAAATCGGTTCCAAATGTTTGCTCCCAAGTCTGTGTGTCCTAACCATGTAAAAACAAGTGTTTGTGATGGTCCATCGCCCTTCTGCTCACTTTTACCTGGAATTTTGTTTTCCATAATGATATACACCTCCATGCATGTGCATTCCAGGGTATCTCAAGGGGATTTAGCCTTGAAAATGAGCTTTATTGTAGTGGTGAAAGATTGCAAGTCGCCACAGTGTTTATAATTTGCACACGTACACATAAATCACATGTTCCCATAAATCACTGGCTCAGTGAGGTCTCTGTGACACACATAAACTCAAGGAAAAAGCCAGAGAGTGAAGGATTCTAACTATGCCTTATGAACATCTGCAAACGACTTCCTTTGTGCCCGAGCCAGGAGAATGTTTTTAGCTGTGACCTGTGGTACTGGTGTAGCCTCTGTCATACATCTGTGTCCTCATAAATGTGCTGCAGAAGCTGCTCTTTAACCAAAAAAAATGAGTATCCAGGGCTAAGGTGACTTGCCTCTGTGAGGGATTTTGCCTTGCTCTGTTGAATAAAAATACAATTCGGAATTTTTTTTTTTAAGTATTTATAAAATCGAATTCAAACAAACGCCTTTTATGGCTTTACTGTCCTTTTGCAACCTTTTATGCTGAGTTTGCGATGACTGATCTCAGGGCTAAAAATATAACTAAAAATCTAATAACAGGCCATTAGATATGTTCTGCAACATAACTGAGCATCTCCTGCAGTGCCAAAAACAGAGGGGGAAAAGCCCGTTCCTGTGGAGACAGACACTGGAGTTTGCAGCATGTCCTGGACACCCAAAGGCTCGTCCTGGTTATTTGGGCAGCTGAGAGAAAAGTGTCTCACAGCAGCACCTGCCTCTGGAAGTGCTTTTCTGGTTCCAATCTTCAGCATCTCAGTGTAAGAGCCAGGAGAAATCGTGGCTCCAGTTTTCCTGAGGCTCCCAGTGCCCAGCTGGCAGCATAAAAGGGGTGTTCCAGCCCTTAGGCTGATATTGTTGCTGCAGGAGGAAGGAGAGGATTTCTTAAGCTGAGGTCATGTCACTTGTCACCTGGGTGTGGCTGCTGTGAGGGGCTTCTGCCCCGCTCCTGTCCTTCCCCCAGAGCTGAAGGGCAGCAGGACAGAGCCCTGGAATCTGGGATGCTGGTGAAGGAGGAGGAGGTGATGCAGCACATTGCAGTTCTGCATGAGCTCAGCTCTGGCGTGTTCACACAGATTGATGAGTCTGGAGCGTTCTGCTGCTCCTCAGGCTGACCCCTGAATGCTGCATCAGTGACGTGACTGTGTCCCTGCAGAGCTGCCCACTCCTGGTGTGGCACCAGGCACGGGCTGCAGGGCAGGGAGCGCTGAGGTTGGACTGGCAGCTGGGATGCCCCTGGATGCATCACTGAGGGATCTCACATCCATGTGCTGCCTCGGGCACAGCACGGATCAAACAAAGCAGGATTCACCCTCGTGGGAGGGTGGGGGGCAGTGTGGGAGCCGTGGGGGCACTGTGGGAGCTGTGGGGGCAGTGTGGGAGCTGTGGGGCACTGTGGGAGCTGTGGGGGCACTGTGGGAGCTGTGGACAGTGTGGGAGCACACATCCTTTCTGACTCCATGCAGATTGCTGGGAAGGGGCTCGAGGCACTCCTGCTCTGACACAAAGTCACCCAGGTGTGCCACACAGATATATCGTGATGTCACACCTGTCAGGCTGTGGGAAATCCCAGATGTGACTCTCATACTGTCTTGTAACTGGTTTTGGGATCCTGCCAGTGATACACAGGGTTGTTCTCTGCCTGCTGGGCTCGGTTCTCTGCCCCCCAAAATGAAACAATGGGAATCCCTGGCTCCCAGTGCTCACCCTGTGCATCCTGACAAACATGAGCACTTATCTCTCGCACCCAGGGCAGCTGACCATGAGGACAATCCTCAGGTAAACCTTTACAACTGTTTTGGCAGCTTGAAAGTTGCCAGGGAGGAAGAGAGGAAAGCCCTAAGCATAAAGACCCTTAGCTGAGATCAAAAGTCTGTCTGCACTGAGATAGTCAAGCAACCGCTTTGGGATAATGTCAGTGATGTCAGCTGTATTTACTCCTGTGCTGGGTTAGTGGTGGAGAGAGGGAAATTCAGGCAATCCAAACCTCCTAAAGCACCTGGGGATCACTGCCTAGAGCAGCTTTGACTCACTGCCTTTTCTCTCTGTTCCAGATCTTACACTGCAGTTACTGTTAATGCTCTTCTTTCTTAATCAACTGAAAATGCAACTTTTCATCCCAGAGTGAGTCTTCAGTGCATCCCGACTTTGCCAACCCTCCAATGGAGCTGGGACCCAACCCTAAATGTGTGTGCAGTCCACAGCATTAGAACTGGAAAGGGAAGAAGTTACAGCATCCCTTTTGGTGCTGTTTATGGGGCTCTCGGGTATCTCTTGCACGGGAATGGCCCTGAGGAAGCCCCAGAGTGAGGGCTGAGCTGACGTCAATGCCCGCATGGTTATGTAAATTTTATGTTTCTCGAAGTTAAAACTATGTGAGCAGAAATATAGAAAATTGGAGGAATCATGTTCTATCAGGCAACAATCTGTTGGAGCACCAGAGCATGGACTGTGGGCGATTGTCTCCTCATGGCTGAGCCCTGGCCTGTGATAAAGCAAAAGGTTAAAATGTGCTGGGGTTCATTCCATTCCTCTTAAAGAAAATTATTTTCAGCAACACCTGGGGCTTGCTCTAACCCCACCTGCAAGCTGCTGAATGGGTGTATATTCCTGCTCCCTGAATGGCCCTAGAGTGAATCCACCATTAATAAAACCTCTCTCAAATATCTGGAAGGATCCTGCTGGAAATAGCAGAGCTTTGGCCTCCCTTCTGCCCAACAGCAGCACCAGAAGATCCCTGAGCTCTCAAAGGAGTCAAACCAGCCATCTGAGGTGCATCAGTGCAGCTGCTGAAGGAATTTACTGAGACCTGTGTAAGTCAGTGGATGGGAAGCTGGACAGAGCTTTAAGGGAGATGGTTTCTCTTCCAGGTGGGTGCACCAGCGTGTCCCAGTTTCCCTCCTGTAGAACAGGGATAACCAACTGTCCTTCCTCACAGAACCCTGGAAGGACTTGTGGCTCTGATATTAAGACAGGTCGAGGCTGAAAGCAGTTTGAAAGATTAGCAATCAGTCATTTGGCCGTTGAAGTGTGGGGAGTGATGAGCTGCCCAGATTAGAACAGCCCAGGTGGAGGTGGGTAAATGAGCTGGGCAGGGGATCTCCCTCAAGCTCCTTCTGAAAAGGGGTGAGATGGAAAGGCATTGCTTGTTTTTTTAAAAAAACCTGAGTATGACAAGAAGTAATTGGTTCTCAGAAGCTGAGGGTTCTTGAAATGTGCAGCCTTTGATTTAGGATAATATAACCCCTGAAGCTGCTACTTCAGGAAAAGTTTGGAAAAGAAGGTAGAGGGGATGACAGGTTTCTTTTGTGCTGATAACTGTGTAGTTTGGCTCTGCACTTGGGGGAAAAAAGCAGAATTAATCAGGATTAGGGGACAAAAGCACTCACAAAATGTTATATGCATCCCCTATGTTACTTCCATCTGCTAAAGCACTAATTAATAACACCAATCTAATAAAGCCAGAAAGGTTTTCTAGATAGTCATTCAAGTTTCCATAACACATCCCTCAAAAGAGCAGTAAATTTAGCAAAGTGTTAATCAGTCAGTCATCAATACCAGGCAAACACTGGTTGTAGACTTTGGAAAAGCAAAGGCTCTTTGTGTTTGTGTTTCCCTGTCCCACGGGTGGGAACCCCTGGAGAGAGAACACCAGAGAAACGGGGACCAGAGAGGAGGGAAGGGATTGGGACTGTCAGGTAAGAGCCTGGAGAAGGCAAGTTACTGAGTCAAGGGGGGTTATTTAGGAACAGAGAAGGAAAAGAAGGGAAATCCCCTCAGTTTCCCCTGGAGGCTCTTTGTGAGCAGCTCTTGCTGCCTGAAGCGTCTGAACCTTGATCTGCTGTAAAACCATCTCCCTTTAAGTGACGCTGGTGCAGCATTTCCCCCTGACACCTCTGATAACACCGCAGCTCTCCTTTCCTCACTGCACTCTGGGCTAGTTCAGTGCAAACAATAGATCCTTCTTTTTGCTTTGGAGGGTTGATTTTGAGGCTGGGTGCTCGTAGGAAAGGGGATTCGTTCGATGTCGCAGCGTTGCTGATTAAATTGAAGCATTAAAATGCCTTCTGCATTTTCCAATACTAATTATAGATGGCTGTTTAATCGAGCCAGGGTAAGTGCACAGTGTACTTATAGTGCCCAGGGAGCAAAAATAGATGGGGCTGCTGGGCTGATGCAGCAAAGACATATTGTTCATTCTCTCTCAGCAGAATTTCACCTTATATCATAAACAGCAAAGCAATAGGAGTGGAAAACTAAAACAAGCTATTTGCTTTAAGCTTTAACAAGTTTTACAGGTAAAGAAATTACATTTTGATATAAATGCACAAATATAATTAACTGTAGAGGTAAAGTCAAATCTCATTGATTTTTCTTAGAAGAGGAAGGCAGATAGAATCTCCAAAGGTGAAAAAAACAAACCCCAACCCAAAAGCACTCATTCATTCATTCATGAGAAAAATCTATGCTTGATATTTTAGCACAAATAATAAATCGCAGAGAAATAAATAAATCATTGTTCATTTACCATATGGAAGAATCAGAGAGCCTGTGCTGTGTGTCCTGACACTCAGAAACAAATCAGAAATCAGAGTAACCTTAACAGGGGGTTAGAAAGAGCAGGCAAGGACTTACCTACTGCCTCTGTCCTGAGAATGTGCAGAGAGAACAGAGCAAGGAACAGCAATTCCATTCTCTGATTTAAACAGGCTCAGTGTTGGGACCAGAATTGATTAGACTCCTCAGGATGTGATCATATTTCTGCTCTCAGTTTTATACTGGAGTAAGTACTCCAGGACAGACCTGAAAGCCATAGCAGGAAGGTGAACTCCTCCCCTTTGTAATTTCTCCAGATTTGCCCCGCTCCTGATTTGCCTGAATTTATTCATTCTCCAAAGTGAATGGCAGAGGGAATGAGGCTCTTTGGCACTGAGCCTTCAGTGAATAGCTGAGGCTTTGCAACCTGTGCCTGTTTAGTGATCTCTCCCTGAAATGCTACGTTTTTATTTAGTGCTGATTTTTTTCCTGACAGCCCCCATGACATTTGGTTAATGTGTGAGTGTTAAGGTTGGTGTTTTCTTTAAAAAAAAACAACTGTGAAGCAAACAAAGCCCCAACTGCCCCCCATCCCTACCCCACAACCCTCAGGACTGCAGGAGATTAGGACTGGAAAATAGGAATTCTGTGTGCAGTGACAGGAAATGTTTATTAGGGGACATGCAACACCTTACTTATGTAATTAAGGAACGATACTGTTTTTAATAATCCTTTTTCTTCTTGACTTTCTGCTTCTGCTGCTATAGTATAATATTTACAGATCCTTTTCTCTGTCCCCTTTCCTATCTGATTTTTTTAATTCCGTGTGCCTGGTTCGGTGGCAGCTCAGACTTCTCGTTCAACAAACAGAAAAGCGACACAACTGCTTTTTGCTCTGTGACAGACGCTGTGCCACCTTTTAATTTGGGGTTGGATTTTGATACAGCTGAGGAAAACAAATGAGGGAGTGAAACAACTTCTTCCCCTTCCCCAGATGCTTCTCTGTCCACGCTGGGTTGGGTGGGAGAAGAGCAGGATGACCCACGGAGGGGAGGATGGAGCGGAGCGATGCTCTGCCAACAGATCTGAGCGTGCACAGTCAGCCAGCAGGGGCTGAATTAAAAAAAACAAGGAGCCAAGAAAGTGCTTTTTGCCTTCCCCAAGAGCTGCAGCTCCCAGGGCAAGGCTGTGCTGTCAGCAGAAGGGTCGCAGGGGCTCAGGACCTGCAGTAACACCGGCACAGCTGACTCACGAGCAGCTCTTTTATTCATAAAAAAAAAATGGCTATAAATAACCCCCCAACAATGAAGAGCTGCTGGGTAGTGTTTTTCCATCCTGCTCAAGGCAGTTGGAGCCTGCACAGAGGATGATTTGCCTAGCACATGGGGATAAGATAAATAGTTGCTGCAGTGACAAGAACAATAAGGGAATTAGTGGCATTTTTTCACTTCCGAGCGCGGTCCCGGCGGAGCTCGGGGAGCAAGGTGCGTGCTGAGCACGTAGGGCAGGGAGGGGGCAGGTGCTGGCAGCCTTCAAGGGCATCCACGAGCCACTTCACTCCTGGGCTCCTCTCTTTCCTGGGGATGGTCCTCAGCGGGGACCTGAAAAGACCCTCTCGTGGATTTTTTTCACTCTGTTTCTGTTTTGCTTCTCTGAGAGCTGAAAGCCTGCTGGAAACTCTCTGTTCAGGACTGAAAACAGGGTTAGAAATTTTGATCTTAAACAATCAGGGTTCTTGATCTGTTTCCTTTTCTTTTTTTTCCTTTCTAAGCCTTTCAGCCTATCACCATTAAAGTGCTAATAAACTGCACTGCAATCATATCAGCTAAGCTTTTATCTGGGCTAGAAAGTAAAGGCACACTCAGGGAAAGACATTCCCTCTCCTTATAAAGCCTGTAATCTAAATAAGCAGGGCAGACATCATGTGTTCTCCTTATTTTTCTCTAAGGAAACTCACCTGGCACGTGCTTGGTTATCAGTTCTCCGTGGCACCGCTGCTCCTTGGGATAATTTCGGAAGGAATTGCCCTGGGGGTGGGTTTTGGACTTTGAACATAAAGACATGTGAGGATCTCGGTCGGAGAAGGTGAGAGTCAAAGTTGAGCAGGGAGGTGACAGCAGATCACTGAACTGCAGGCTGGTTTTTTTTTCCTGGCAGAATTATTGCAGTTGTGTCCTTAGCTACAGGGGAGGTGGGAACACCCAAACCAGCGAAAAATCGCAGTTATTTTGTTGCCTGGAGAGGCACAGCAACAAAGGCTTTGGAGATGTTCCCCCAGCCTGGTTCCTGAACCATGGGAAGCTCGGGGGGGATGTGGTGGGGGATGAGGGCTGGCTGGGGCTGAACCCACGGCACAGAGGCATCAGACACCCAAAATCCAGGCTGTGGCTCAGCTCTGTGGGCTGGAGGCCGAGTTGTTGCTCTTAGAAGGAAGATCTGAGGGTTGTGAAGGTCAGACTGGCCTGAGTCCAAACCCTGGGTCACAAATGACCCAGGAGGAACTGCCCCTGCCGTGGGAGAGGGAAAAGACTCCAAACACAGACGAGTTCCACGACTGGGAACCCCACCCTGCGTGTGAGAAAACGCACCGAGCGCTCCTCATTTACTCGTGTGTTGCCATTTTCTTGGTTACAGTTCCCACAGGAAATCTGGAACCTCGTGGTGAATCACAATCATCAGGCCTTCATCTTCCATGAGAAACGTGGGCTGGCTCTGATCCTCCCTGAGGAACAGGTACAAGGTCGTTTCCATGGAACACTCAGGAGTGGGGATGTTTTCTGCCCTCTTCACATCTAAGCCATCAGTGGAAGGCTTTGCTTGCCACGCACCTGGTTTGAGGTGTTTATTCCTGCTTGTTTCCTTTGAGACAGGACAATGCAAGTTCCCCAGAAGGTGAAAATGCCAGTTCTGGCATCTCAGAGAGACGTCCTGGCTCTGCATGAAGGGGGGCAGGGTCTGGTTTGGGGAGTGTCCTTGCAGCAAACCATCCTTGCCAGCATTTTGTTGGTAACGAGAGACTTCAAGCCTGATGATTGTCTTCATGTGCCTGCTGAGGGCCTTGGAAAACAGAGCTGGGATGTTGGGTAACTCCAAACTCCTCAAAGAGAGAGGGCTGGGGAGGAGCAGAGCTCTCTGTTTCCAAAACATCTCAGAAAAATCTTGGAAGGAGATCATACACCCCATTTGTGCCTTCCTCTCCGAAAAGGAAGACTTTAATCTGCATAAATTAAAACATAAACTGGATAAATAGGCTCCCTATTTGCGTGCCTCCCCTTGGTGACTGTTTCTTCTTTGCAGGCCCCGTGGTGCCCGCTGGCAGAGGGAGCAGGTGGATATTCTGGTCCCACAGAAGGTCGTGGCAGTGAACTCTGGATCCAGGGGGTGACTCTGCCTCCCTGCTCAGCTCAGCTGGGTGGAACTGGCCGTTTTTTGGGCTCAGGAAGGGTATTGTTTGTTGTGAAAGGGCAGAGCTGGAGTGCAAGGGCAACTGGGAGAAAGCTGAACCGTTGCCTTTCCCAGCAAACAAGGTGTGGAGTGTCAGGAACGAGCAGGAATTGACTGTGAGTTCAGGGAGAACGTGGCAGGGAAGAAACCAGGACAGTGGAATCCCCTCACCCTTGCAGTGCCTGGTTTGTCCTGTGTGTACAATGTGTGTCCATGACCTTGCAGGTGACACCAACCCACCTGCAGCTCCCCTTTTGTGGGATTCTTGTTTTCATCACGGGGATGCAGCTTGTTCTCCCGTGGTTTCAGGCACAGCTCAGCTCCTCAGGGTGCTGTCAGCACAAAGGACGCTTGGTTGCTCTGCATCACACCCAGGTAAGGGTGTCTGCTGTCCAAGGGTTACTGAGCAGAGCTGGCACTCAGATCCTGGACAGAATTTTCCTGCTTTAAGGAATGTCCCAGCTGGGGCCTGTTGTCCTGAGGGCAGTTCTGAGACCGTGAGCTCAGCGGGGTGAAGATGGATTTTCCACAACAGCCACTTGAATCATCACTAAAACTTCAGCCTGAAGCTTCTCGTGTCTCTTTCTCCATCTCTTCAACGTGTTCAGTGATTATTTTTGTCTCCACAGGCCCAGTCATCAGGTAATTATTATTGAACTTTGAGATACTCTACGAAATAAACCCATTTGCAAACACGTGATGTATCAAAACAACGCCAATTCAGGCATTCAGATAAAGAAATATAAAACCAATGATAGAACTAAAAGGAAAACAACTGTAGACTAAAAAATGTCGTAGAAGGCGAGGTCTAGATAAATCTGAATCACAGGCTGCCAGCAGCAGGGCACAGCCAGTGTTTGAGGTGTCAGCCCGAGAGACTGCAGATTAGATTGGGCTCTCTGGACTTCTGAGGGATCTTAAACAAATAATGTGATTGCTCTTTTCCCATTTATGGGATGCAGATAACAGCCTTTCCTCCCAGGTGGAGGGTGAGGGAAAATCACCCAGTTCCCGCAAGGTGGGGGCAGAAAAACGCCCTTGAGCTGAGGTTGGGACAGGCAGAGCTTCGGCTGGGTAGCAGCTCTGCCTCTGGGATTTCAATTCAGAGCAGTTTTCATCTGGTTTTGAGAGCTCCAGCTGCATCCCAGAGGGTCGCAATACCCAAACCTGGGGGTTTTCCGTAAATTAAAGCCCACTAAAAACCAAGCAGTTGCCACACTAAAATCGTCTCCCTTAATCTAGCAGTGTTATGCTAATTTTTCTGTAATTCTATTAGGGAAATAAGATTACAAAGCTTTTGTGAAGAGCTGTTTACGCTACTCGATATTATTTTAATTACGCTCCGATCTCATCTCGTTTAGTGCTTAAGTGCTTGAACGCCAGATTTTCAAATTAGAGCCATTTCAAGGAGCGTTTTCAGGAATATCTGCAGCCTTTCAGATTATTGAAAGGGTTTGCTGACTCGAGGAGTTGGCACCGATGGGGGTGACAGGAATAGTGGAGCCCTTGTTGAGCAGCAACCTCACACCAGAGGTGTGGCTGACAGGGAGGGTTCCAGGATGCACAGGGGATGGGTTATCTGGGACACTGGGAGAAGGATATTTTATGGGATGTTAAGACATCCACAGGCTCAGTTCATCAACTTGCAGCCCTTATTTCCTGTATAATCGTTCTGTGCATTGCTGTGGGACCACCTGAAATACTTAAAGCATTTCTAGTACTTAAATATTGTGTGCTGATTGCACACTAACCTGAATATGCACTTCAGCAGGAAAAAAGAAGCCCCAGGATTTTCCTTCCCAAGCTCCACATTTTAGCCTGAATTTCTGGTAGTGTAAATTTGGCAGAGCTGGCAGAGCTCGGGGGTTCCCAGCTCCAGAGCAGTGATCAGATGTCAGTGCTGATGTGGAAAGCCCATGAACTCAGCTGAGCTGCTTGGCAATATCCCAGGATAAAATTGTCACTTATGGAAATTAATCCTTTGTTAGGGTAACAGTGAGAAATGAATTAAATCAGAGTAAATTTGGGTAACTGTGCTGCTCACCTGAACTGCTCTGCTGTTTAAAATCTCCCTGTTCCCACCGAACCCTGTATTTTGTTCCAGCAGTGCCCTCTGCCGAGAGCATGGAATGTGTGTCCCAAAGGCTTTTTTCTCCAAGGCTCAAGGATTTTAAATCTAGTGCTCAGAAATCATTTGCCTTTAAAAAGGTAGAGGAAGAAAAGATATTGTGATGTTGGTGTTGGTTTATTAATGTGCAGATCACACCCTAAATAAACACAAAATATCCTGGAGAGAGCAGGAGTAGTGATGCCTGCTGTTGTTTAGCCACGTTGCCATCCAAGAATTAAGGTGGAAAAATGGCATTTTCCTAATTGCTTAGGCAGGAGCTGGGGGCCAGGTTGGTGACACAGCACTGATGTTCTTATTTCAGCTCCACCAGTCACACACTCCCCCCTCCCAACCCACAAAACTCTGCTCTCCATTTCCTGCCTCTCTAATCCTCTATCATCTAATTTATCTGCGAGTTAAAGCTGAGTCCACATTAATTCCACTTTAGGCCATCCTTAAAGAATTTTGAACTCCTGATGTGATCATTCATCCTCTCGAGATGTGGCCAGATGTTGCTGCTGGCAGAGGTTGTTTGCAGCAGCTCATCCGTGCAGCAGCAAATGTGTTTTCCAGTTTGGGCTGTCCTGGCAACTCGACGCTAATTGGCGATGCCCTGAGGTGGCAACCCAAATATTTAAAAGCACAGGTGGTTAAAGTTTAATCCACTGTCATGATGATGACGATGTGGCAACAGGAGCTGCGTGTCAGGATCCATTCTGCACCTGGAGAACGAGGCGGCGGCAGCAGCTCTCGCGTGGTGTGGTCTCTGACAGAGTGCGGGATGAGCGAAGCCGACCTCACTGAGGGCTGAAAGTAGGATCTTCCACCATGAATGGATTCCCAAACTGCTCTGCTAACTACACAAACATCTGGAGTCATTCTTTGGTGCTCGCCCTGGGCATCCCCCAGCTGACCATCAACGTCGCGTCCGTGCTCTTCAACTGCACCGTCATCTTCACGCGCCTGGCCACCAAGGACCTGCACAAGCCCATCTCCATTCTCTTCTGCAATTTGGCCATTTCTGATCTCTTCACCAGCTTCTCTGGCTTTTGGATTTCCGTGCTGTTCATCACCAACCCCGACATGACCATCTTTGGCTCCAAGGACATGCTCGCCCCTTACGCCCTGTACACGACGTCCATTTTATCCACCATCTACAACCTGGTGAGCATCGGGGTCGAGCGGTACCTGGCTGTGGCCAAGAGCATGAGGACGAGGTTCAGGGTTGCCAGAAACCATTCCATAGCCGTGGTTTTCATCAACTGGGTCCTCGCTTTCTTCCTGGGCTGCTTGCCCCTGATGGGGTGGAACTGCCTGCACAAGGAGGAGAACGTCTCGGTCCTCTACAGCCCCTTCTGCGTCAACTACCTCATCTTCATCTCCATCCCCAACGTCGTGGTGGCGTTTATCATACCCCTGTTCACCTACCTGAGGATCATCATCATCCTGAGGAGGAGGAAGCTGAGGATGAAGGCGTGCGGGCAGGCCACGGGCACCTACAAATCGGCTGAGACCCAGGTGGCCAGGACCAGCATCTTCATCTGGCTGCTGGCGCTCATCTCCTACGCCCCCTTCTTCGCCGGGGTCATTTTTGACGCCACCAACCAGCGGTGCCACATCGACCTCTACCCGGGCGTCTACATCTTCAGGAACTGCACGGCCGTGCTCATCACCATCAACTGCCTGGGCAACCCCCTCATCTACACCCTCAAGCTCAAAACCCTGGGGGCCAAGCTCAAAGCTCTCAAGTGCCTCTCCGTCGGCCGCGTCCGGGCCTGTGCCATCGAGCACATCTAGGCGGGGCTGCCCCTGCTGCGGCGCTGCCGCTGTGCCTGACCCGCTCCCCGGAGCCAGGGACAGCTCTGCAGCCCCTCCAGAGCCAGAGGAGTTCACAGAACGTGCGGATGGGGCACCTGGGGGCGCGGATTAGCGGTGGGACGGTGGATGGAGTTGATCCTGGAGGTCTGTCCCAGCCTCGACGCCGGGCTCTGTGTCGCCCCACGCCCTCAGCAGTGAGAGGCTGTTCTGCCTGGCTCTCCCTGGGGAAGCAGGCAGTGTGTGCCCCTGCTCTGTGTCGCCTCCAGCTGGGATCAGGGAGCTGTTTTCCCGGGAGATAAAAATAACTCCATTAGCCCTGTTTACTCTGCCTTCGGAAATCGGCGCCCGCTGCTGCGCTCGCTTCGCTGCCGACGCTCCCGTCTCCCTCGGGTGGTTTGGATGGCTTTGAAGGCAGTTTAATGGCTGGAAAATTCTCAGCAGTCTGGGGGAAATTGTCGGTTTACTTTCTCATTTACGCTCAGTCGAGTTGTCCCTTTGACTGTTGGGTGGGTCTTTATTAGCAGGGCACTCAGCCCTGTTCTCCTGGTGTCGTTCTAACTGCAGCGCGGAGCTGGGTTAAGTGTCTTTGTGGGACATTCGTGGCTACATCTTTCATATTTCTGCTTATAGAGGCACACTCGAGCCCATGGCTTGTGAAATTCGTGCTGTTCTGGGTGAAAACCTCGCCTGGATCCTTCAGGGTCAGAACTGAAGTCGAGTTGCCTGTACAAAACAAAATAAAGATGTCAAGACCAAGTGTTCTGTAAAAGAAAAAGGTCTTAATCCCTCTCTCTCTAAAGAAAAAAAAAGAAAAAAAAAAAACACAACAAAAAAAGTTGGGTCCTGAATATTTATTTAGTAGATTTAGGTTCACCCACTAATGTAAGAAATGGGAAATGCCATCACATTAACAAATCTGATACCCAGTCCTTCCCTTTAGTGCCGACAAACCCCTCTCCTGTGCTGCTGCACACTCCAGGGGAATTCCTTTTGTCTGAATTAAAATTCAGGTATTTAAGGAAATGGATGGCCCTAAGTGACACGGAATTAAAATGAATTATTGAAATGGATAATGTAACTCAGGCAAGATCATTTCTTTTCTCCGTTCCCTGTTATATTT